TGTTTGGTTTTCTTTGAAATCCACAAGGTTCTGTTTCTGAAATTTAAATATCTTTAAAGTTCTCTTGGTTTAAGCCTTATGCTCTGCCAAAAGACCTTTTCTGTTGTATCTGCTCACCTAACCCTTTCAAAGACCATCCACCACACTCTTGCTAATGCTTGAAGCTGGGTGACAGAATCTGAATACAAGGGTTATTACGCTGTCCAGTCTACTTTTTGTAAACGCTTAAAAGTGTCAATAATAAAAGGTATCTTAATGCCCCAATATTTGAAGTATTTGTAACCCCTTTAAGAAGTCATTTGTTCAATTAGGACTACTTCCCGGTTGACAGAACAGATTTGTGGTTAGAAGAATAGCTTTGCAGGCAGAGAGCCCTAGATTCAAACCCGGTCCCATCATTTACCAGCTGTGCAACCTTGGACATACACATGCGCTCTCTGAACATTAATTACTTTGACCTATAAAATGAGCATGAAAATAATAGCGCCCACCTCAAGGACCAGCAGGTGGTGAGGTGGTTAAGGCACTGGACTCCCGCATGGCCAACTACACAAAAAAAGAACAGAGGAGTCAAAGCTGGCGAAAGGTGCTAGAAAAGGCCTTCTGGATTTACAGCCAGCCGAACCTTGGGGATGAGTTAGGAGCAGGCGAAGAAGCAGGAAGTGCTCCGGAGAGGAGACCGCCAGTGCAAAGGCGGAACGCAGAAAGGAGCCCACGCGTGCACGGAGTGTGGACTGCCTACGGGAGGGTGCTGGCAGGGCAGTGACCACACGTGGGGTTCAGAAGCCACCATGGACCAGATTGTGAAGAGCCTCAAATGAGCTTGACTTCTTTTTTCCCTGAAAGTTATCAGGAGCCATAGAAGAATGCTAAGCACAGTCTTCTCTGCATTGTGTAAACCATTCCTTCAGCTTTCCACTGGAAAAGAGAATGGGAACTTGGGAAACTTCCTAGGGGAAACCCACCAAAGTCATATTAGCCCATAATAAATATCATATCTAATAGTCCCAGCTAGAAAATACCTTAGACATCATCTCATCTAACCCCTTTATTGTAGAGCTTTTAAAAACTTATTTTCAAGGGATGTAAACGCATGTTATCTTTTTTCTTCTTTTTTTTAATGAAATGAAACACCCTGCCCTATAACCCAGTCTTCCTTTGTCCCACCACAACCTGCTAAGTTTGCTTGCTTTTCTGCAAAAGAAAAGTGAGCCTGAGAGGTGGTCTCACTTCCTTGGACACGGCTCAGGGAAAATTCTAGCCAATGACTGAAGATATGACCAATTTTGAGAGCTAGCAGTCTTTAGTCTATGAGCATGAGAAAAAAAAAATTGCACTGATTTTGTATATTTTCTCATAGTGATTAGAAAGTTAAGCCCTTTTAAATCAGAGATTATTCTTGAGCTTCTAATACTATTTAAATTACAACTCCCAAATCTTGAATGATGTAACAGACTTAAGTCCAAATGCTGCTTTTTCAATTCTGTACCATCCATGGGAGTCACTTAGCACGACAGACAGCAACACAGATTGGCCTGGTAACAAAATCGCAGAGGTGCCGTCTGTGCTATAATGCGCGCATTGCCCCAATCCTCTAAAAGGTAAATAGGTTGATTCCCCACGTTTTCTCTCCAGAAACTCTCAGAGGAGCCCTGACAGACATCTAATCTGCATCACAGTACAGTCTCATGGTCTGCCAGGTTGGTTTCCTCGGGTGCCCACGTAGCCAGACTGCAGGGCAGCAAGTTCTAAACTTAACAACCCAGAGCCACGGGCCATCATTCTGTGATCCTGGAAACAAATTCTGCAAGATAAGGAGATATTCCAGACTGAAATATTGTGGGCACATTTATTCCGTCAGTATCCAGTGGTAGCTTAGAGTAATTCTCTTCACCAGGCAAATATAAATAGCCACTTGCTTCTGGAATACCAGGTATCAAGACAATGGTGTCTGGAAAAACCCCAGCCACACATCTCAACTCATCGCCATTTGCCTCGAGCAAACATTCGAGAAGTCAAAAGACAGAGCAGTGTGTTATTAGCAATGCCATAAACAGTAAGTGGTCAACCCCTTGGAAACAGAGATCCTGCAAAGCAGCAGTGAGCCCGACATCTCAGCACTGAATAGGAGATGCTCTTATAGACATTAGCTTCGTTTTTAACTCTCCTGAGAACCTGCATGTTTATTTCCCTTTCAAAAACGGACAAACTGGCTTGGGTTGGAGAGCCATTTGTTCCTGCTCAAGGAAGTTGAGGTTGGTAGCTGCCATGTGAATGCTGCCAGAAACAAAGCCAGCGCTTTCTGCATTCCAGGCCCCCCACTGTGGACAGGCTCTTGGGGGTGGGGTGGGTGGGGAGGGAGACTAGGAAACAGGACAAAGTTCTCCTGGTGCAGGCCTAGGGAGAAATCACAGAAGACCCGGAGAGTTCAGAACTCAAATCACTGTAGACAACTCCATAGGCATTCATCCACTTTGGGGTGACCCCCCTCCTCCACACGCACACTGAAGAAGTCAGTGCCCTGGTTGTGCTCCTCCCACCTACAGTTGCTGGACAACTGAGACTCAGCCTGACTTCCTTAGATCCAAGAAAAGCTGGTGATTCCCTGAATAAACCCTAAACGTACAGACTGAAACCTACTGCAGTCTCCGTCCCACAAGCCTGCCTCCCCGGCCAGTCACCAACAAGAAGTGTATCCATCTCATCAGGAAAGGCGTCTCAGATGGAGAAGGGAGAACACCTTTTAGATCGTCTCTGTCTTGGTAAAGGTCTCACATATATTAGCATTATTAAGACGCGATACTGTACTTAAACATGAAACAAAAGTTACACTGTAATTTCACTCTTATAAGCTATAAATCCAATTCTCCGACAGACTTTTTTCAGTAATACCGACATTTTATAAGACACCCTTTGGCAGCCCAGTATGCCAGAGGCCAAAGCACAGTTTCACGTTTTACAATTACTCCATGTAATTTCTACACACAGTATTTTTTCTCTCTTTTGCCAGTAAAGTAAGTGGCAAAGGCTTTTGTCCCACACATCGGTGGTTAGAGGATGACAGCTCTGCCGGCCCGTCGTGGCTCATGTTGCTGAGTTTCTAATTTAAGACCAAAATTAAACTTGAAAGAATAAAGACATCCAGAAAGTTATGAAGCAGAAAGAAAAGGCATCACACTTCATGGGTGCTCATTCTAGATATGTTCATTACATGCCAAAGCCCTGCGAAGGCAAATCCGGAATTTGACAAGACACCATCTGCTATGTGAGGTTTCAAGTGATCAACTTAACCCTTACCATCCCCATCACCTGCTGCTCAGCATGGGGGCGGGGGTGGGGGAACTACAGAATGGCTGATGACATTAACAAGGTAGCTTGCGCAGGACCTATGGATGTGCCTGGAGGGGATTTTGATAAGCCCAGCCTGCAACATGCAAACACCTCTTTTAAAACAAATGCCACACATGATGGCTGCCACCAGCTGGGCGTCACAACCGAGAGCAAGAATGAGCCACAGGCTCCTATGAAACATTTACTTTATTTAAAATGGGTGCTTTGAAAGACAAGCAGAGATTTTAGGAAGTATTCAGATCTGGGAACTAAAAAGTAATTTCTCAAGTAAAGATTTCTTTAAAGAAAAAAGTTAAAACAAATGAAAAATAAGAGTATACAGCCCAAGTCAGAAAACACCTTCTGTTGAAATACTCAAAGGCAACACGTGGCACACAAGAGGAGAAATTTCCACTTTAAATAAAAAGGGAACTCACGCTTGAAACTGGCCAGGTTTCTTACTCGGAGATCTAAAATAGTCTAGTTTTTAAAACTCATTTAACAAATGCAGCGCAGCTCGCTCGGGGTTGATCTGAGTTCACAAAATAATTTTATTATATGTAAGAAAGCATACAGGCAATAAAATGAAGAAAACATTCACAATACATAAATACCACAGACCTGATGCAGGAGATATTTTTCAGTAGATTGTTTTCTTTTGACTAATGTCATCTAAATGTTACGTCAACTGTTTATCAAGAAGAATACTTTGTAAACGTTTCAAAGAAACTGTTGAAATGCCCCACATGAGTTCTTTTCTGGCAGGGAGACTCAGGGTCCTTTTTCACAGTCTAGGGGATGACATAGGGACTTGATTCCAAAGCACAAAGGAGCAGCATTTGTCAAAAGGGATGCTGATGGCTTTGGAGCACTTCACACACCCAAAGAGAAGGGACTCTTCTGTTTCTTCCACCAACGGAAGTGAGGATGGCGATGAGGCACTAGTTGTCAGTTGGAATACCTTGACGTGAAAGTCTTTTTAAAAAATCAATTCCAAGTTTAGAACAGAGGGCTACAAAAGGTAATGCCACCGGCTGGCTTGGTTCGACCTGGTGAGGGGGAGACTCTCGTGTGAGCTTTCTCCAGAGGTGGGGCAGCTGAGACAGAGCACATCCCCACCCAGGAGAGGCATCTGTTGGGTTCAGAAGAACCCTCTGACATATGAAACGAGAAAAGAAGGGGAGGGCTGATTATTTTACATACATACAAAGTGGCACATTCTTTTCATTGCCACCTCAGGTTATAAACTGAGACTTGGAGCCTTCCGTTGGCTAGGATTAAGATATTTACAAAACCACAAATTCTCTGGGAAAGCCTTTGCCATTTAAAATCTGTTGAGCACAGTAGTAGTTATGCCTTTTTAGGTTTTTAAAAATATTGTTTAGGAAAAAAGTGTATTCACAGCATTTGTCAATTCTCACCTCGTATCACCCGATGTCAGTGAATTTTAAAGAATCGTCGCAACTGTAATTTCTATGGGTCTTTGCTGTGTTTCTGGAAGTTATGCACAAGCATTTAGAATCTCCAAGAGCTTGTATATTTGTTTTGTTGGCTTATAAAGTGCTAGCTACATGGACAAAAATATGGTTGTAAGGTCTCGGACAACTCATTAGTTTATTCTATTAAATATGATAAATATAGATTATAATAAATTAAAAATATCCATATGATACAATAAATAAATAAAACCGATATCAACAAAGCATCTCTCAATTCTGAAAAAAAAGAACTCCTCTCTGTGCTGTAAGGCTCAATCATTTTTAGAAATAATGTACGAAGGCATGCACCTACCTTTACAATCTGAACACTGCTTAGAATGGTGTCAGCCCCTGTCTGTACACAGCCAAATCAACCCTTCTCATCTCCTTCCCGGGAAGAGGTGTGTGTGTGTGTGTGTGTGTGTGTGTGCGTGTGTTTTAAGTAAAGCTGTTCATTGTTGATTCTTTTCCTTACTTTTTAAATCCTAAGATAAAAATGAGTTCCTAAAAACAATTTTGGAGCCAAAGATATGTCCCTTGTAGCTTCCCATGTGTCCCTGTTTGCTTGACTATGAACAACACAGAATACCAGGCTGTATTGGAGATTCTAGTTAGCTGTGTGTGGAAATGCAGCAGAGGGCTCGCCAACACCTTGCATCTGACCGTAACCTAGTTTCTCACTAGCAGCCCAGAGCAATCTTCGCCAGCTTTCAGGATCAGCCTGTGTGGCAGGCAGGATTCCTCTGGAGCTCAGGTTGGGTGCTGTCCATTTTGCGTGATGGGTTGGATCTTCTCTAGAGAGACATCGGTGTCATAGTCCAATATGACCGATAAGGCCGGGGACAACTTCTCCAAGGGCTTGGCTATTCCACCTGCCTCCTCCTTCTTCAGGTCCTCGGAGGAGCCCACAGCGTGCGGGATCAGGTAAACCAGATTGCACTCCTTGGAGATGGAGCCTCGCGGCTCGTGATGGCTGGAAAACACCACAGCCCCGTTGTTGTTGATGCTGACCGTCTCGATGGCATTATTGGTTGCAGGGCAAAGTCTGTAGCATCCCAAGAGGGTTGAAAATGCCTTCCGAAAATCAGCATTAAAGGCATAAATGATGGGGTTCAAGGAGGAATTAGCCCACCCAAACCACACAAACACATCAAAGGTGATCGAATCGATGCAAAAGGGCTGGGTCTCCCCGGCCCCACAGAAGGGCAAAATGCAGTTCAAGATGAAGAAAGGGAGCCAACAGCACACAAACACCCCCATGATCACCGACAGAGTCTTCAGGACTTTGGTCTCTCTTTTGAAGGACATCTTAAAGGAGCTTTCGGGCTGCGAGCACTCAGCGGGCTTCCCGTTGCCCGTGGTGGTCTGGCAGTTCTTGGCATGGACGGCTGCCCTCTCCAAGGCTGAGATCCGCCGAATTTGCTTCTGGGCAATCCTGTAGATCCTGGTGTAGGTGACAATCATGATGACCACGGGGATGTAAAAGCTTATCAGGGAGGACGAGATGGCGTACGTCCTGCTCAGGCTGGAGTCACAGTTGTCTGTGGCCTCGCCCAGGGAAGTGGCGTTCCCTTCGGAGGGGTTTGTGGGCTTTGCCTTATGCCAGCTGAGCTGCACGGGGATGAAGGAGATGAGGACAGACAAGGTCCACGCCACGCTGATGAGAATGCAGGCCGCCTTGGGGGTCATCTTCCTCTCGTACCGAAAGGGGCTGGAGATAGCCCAGTACCTGTCCACGCTGATCACGCAGAGGTTGAGGATGGACGCGGTCGAGCACATGATGTCAAAGGCCACCCAGATGTTACAGAAGGACCCGAAGGGCCAGAAGCCAGCGATCTCAGCCACCGCTTTCCAGGGCATGACCAAGACGGCCACCAGGAGATCTGACACAGCCAAAGAGATGACAAAGAAGTTGGTCACCTTGGACCGCAGGTGTCGGAATCTGATCACTGCGGCACAGACCAGCGTGTTCCCCAGGAGGGTGGACAGGATGAGCAGCGACAGGAAACAGGCTGTGAGGATTCGGAAGGAGAAGTCCCTCTCCACCACCAGTCCGGCACCATCCATGGTGGAGGTGTTGGGAGTCCTCATCTTCCGGAGGGAAAGCACATCCGGGGCTCCGACCCCCTTCAGGATCCTAAGCAGAAGGCAGGGCTCGGGCAGGATGGCAGCCGTCACTCACCAGGCAGCCCCGGCAGTCCCCGGTCCCTGGTGGAGGACCTCATCAACACCCCATCTGCGAGGGTCAGGAACCTCCCCTTCCAGCCCAAGTCAGCCCCCGGCAGGACCGTCCTGCTCTCCAGACCGGCCCTCCAGCTGCCTTGCTCCAGGTCACTGTCACCAGCACCAGCTGGCCCCTGAATTCCCCAGGGAAAGCACTGGCCTTTTCGCATACTCTAAGCCATCACTCCAGAGACTGCCAGGCCTCTGCCGACCCGCCAATCGCAGTCACATTTCGGGGCTGTTGCCTCTCCTGTGGTGACAGGGAATTCTACCCTCCTGAAACGCAGCAGAAAATGCATGTGTCTCTCCCGAGCCCTCAAAGGCTCTCCAAACGCCCTAAAAAGCAAAAAGCAAAGGGAAAACACGATGGTGGTGAGCCGAGACTGGAGCAGAAGCACCCTCGCCCACCACCCGCGGGGCGAGCCCAGCCAGGACACCCACCTCGCCTCGGGCTCGTCTCTCCCAAAGCCCCCGGAGCTCGGAAAGCGGACTTGGCCAGGAGCTGAGGCGCCACAGCGCCCGGGACTCACGCCTGAGTCCAATCCGCCGCGCGCAGCCGAGTTCTGCTCCCGACGCGCAAAAATCGCCAAGGACGGGTTTGGGAAAGGGATTCCCAGCCAGGGTCCCAAAGAGGCGGTGCCGCTCCGCTGCCTCGAACAGCTAGAGAGAGTTCAACGCGGATGAAACCCAGGAAAAGGGATCCCGGGCGCTCGGAGCACCCGTGGGAGAGGGCGCCCCAGGACTAGGCACCTTTGGGCAGCTGTTTTTCTCTGCTCCCTTTCCCGGAGAGCTGGGTGCCGGGGCGCCCCTCGGGCAGCCTTCCGCCCCTCTGGGCAAGACCCTGCGCCTCTCTGCAGCCCCGCCCGCTACGGCTCAGAAGCCTGTGAGAACCAAGCTGGCACCGAGTGCACGGTCGGCCGGGTTCCCGCGGGGCACAGCCCACCCCGCCTCCGCGCCCCTCCCCTGCCCTGGGGGACGGGCTTCGCTTGACAGGCAGAGTTGCGGGCGACAGCCGCACGTGGCTCGCTGAATGGTGCCGCGAGCGAAAGGGATCGGGACGTCCAGGTGCGCCCTTGCCCTCACTGGGTACCTCGCCCACCGCTGCGCACCCAGCAGCACGCTCAGGGCTGGCGAGACACATCCTGACGCCAGGACCTCAAGGAAGCCTGAGTCGCCTGCAGTGCTCCGCCCAACACCCAGTGCCTTTGGGGGTCAACCCCAAGATGAATCCAGAGCCCTTTGGGAGGTGGGGCCCTCCCCTCTCCGGTCAATGCCAACCACTAGGCCAGCCGGCCCGCGCCGATTCGCGCTGTCCGCCAAGTGCCCCCCAACTAGGGCGAGCGGCGCCGCTCAGAGCTTACTCACCGGCGACCAACGCGTCCCGAGTTGCGGTCCACGCGGGACTGCAGCCTGTGCCCGGCGCCCCGCGAGCGCCCCAGCCCGAGCGCCACGCGCTCCGCAGGCCCCGGGCGCCCTCTGCCGGCACCAACCGCCTCCCAAGCCCCGGCTGCGCCCTCGCAGGGGGCGGCCTCGCCCGCACCGCCTCGGTTTCCCCCTGGAGGCCCGTCCCGCGACCCGACCTTCGCTGTGCGCGAGGATTAGGACAGGAAAGCGGAAACGGAACGGTCCTCGCTCAGGACTGCTCTCCTGAAAACACCTCGTGAGCGGATGGAAAGTTCGTCCGCGAGCTCGGCCGGCCCTGAACCGTCTGTGTCCTCCCGTGCGCCCAGGACGTGCCGAGCGCTGGGGCTGCGGGGGAGCGAGACGCAAGCCTCACTCGGAACAGACTGGGGCTCCCTGGGCAGGGGAGTGCAGGCACGCGCCCCGTGTCGTTGAGCCCCGTAAAACAATCTCACTTTGCCTGTGTGGAAAATGAGGGTCGGAGGGGTGACTCAGAACTACAGGGAATTCTCCGGTTCTCAAACGCAGCAGAAAACGCAGGGCCCTCCGTGCCTCTAGCGTACCGAGACCCCGCCGCTGCGCGTTCTCTGAACCTCCGACGGCGAGTGCGGAGCGCGGCCGCAGCTGCCTACCGGATGCAAGCAGGGCGAGGAGAGGCAGCGAGGCCTCCTGCCGAAGCACGTCCCCGGCCTCGCCCAGGTCACCGACTAACGCCGGCCAGGCCGGACGTCGCACTACCTCTGCCGTGGGAAGAACACGCGAGGGGCTCTGCGGTCGCACTGCCCGCTTCCTGGCCCTGCCCTGCCACTGCTGGCCTGGCGTGCGCCCGCTCTCCCCTCGGGGCTTGGTGTCTCCCCCTGAGGACCTGACACCGCTGCTCAGTGTTCAATGAGACACTGTTTACGCAGGGCTTGGCCGCAGAACAGGACCTAGTTCGCCTTGCACCGCAAGGACGCCCCCGCCTCATTTAAAACGCAGCGGTCTGATCCCCGTGAGAACCAGGCACCACCTCAGGGCTAGAAATGTTTGTGAAACCGGTCCGTCTGAACTGCACCTTGGTTTTAGACGGAAGAACACCACTACTACCCAGGTGCCCTGGGCGGCCCTCCCACTAGTGACCTCACCGTCAGTGTCCCCAGACTGACCGTCAGAGGCCCAACCTCTGCCACAACCATGACCGAGACTCACATTCCTGCAGCGCCTTGGGCTGGGCTCTGCTTTCAGATCACTCTCCTTAAGTCAGCCATCCCAAACGTTTTGATCCTGTTTCATCTTTTTCTTTCTCTGTTACTAAGAACCACAGGGGGCTTCGAGTTCCAGGTCTTGCTTAAAACTCACACCTGGTGTGTGTGCATGTGTGCCCAAAATTCCGAGAGGAGAATGGTGAAGAAGGGATTGCAGTAGGACCAGCCCCAGGGGGTGATTCTGGCTTCCTGTGTCCCTCTCCTACCCTCATTTCTCTCAACCCAGCAGCTCCTAAATTTTCTTTTTTCTCTGCTGGGGAAAAAATAATCCCTAAAATTCTTGTAAACTAAACCATGATCATCTGTGTCTTCTCAACCAAGTAACCTGGCAGGTCCGGGTGGGCACATCAACACACATCACTTGTGTGGTGGTGGAGAATTCCCCCGCCACGACTGAGTCTCTGCCTTTGCGGAGGCAACACACCCAATCTTCCCCCTAGCTGCCACCCAGAAAAGGCCCGAAAACCCAGCCAGCAAAGAGAAAGCCCCCCTGAGCAGGCAGAGAAGGGGGTATGAAGCTGTGAATACCTGCAGGTAGTTCTTCCCCTCGCCAGAAAAACGAGCTGGACAATTCCTCTGTGGTTCTGTAACTCCGAAACATACCTGAGACCCCTCGGGAGCAGACTTCGGGCATAGACTTCTGAACCTTAGTGCTGGGTGGACAGGAAGAGAGTGAACTGCCACTTCCATCTCAGGGTTTTGCTTTTGCAGAGTGTGAATTTCAGGGGAACTTACAGTGTCACTAAAGGCTGGCATTTTTTCCCAATGTTTCACCTTGAAGACGAGGTGAAACAAAGCCTTCCATTTTATTCTATCAAAATCTCCCCACAAACATTAGTAACAAATACAAATGCAGGCAGGTATTAGCATGAGAGCACAAAGGCACCTCTGTTTCCCAAATTGGTATGTCTTTTAAGCTACTGTGATTTATGCGCTGCATGGAGGGGGAGGCTGAAATGATGCTTTTCAACAATTTTTATTTGTAGCATGTTAAAACAAAAGTCAATGACTACAGAAGACATGCTCTCAAGTAGGGGACCTAATCTCATAAAAGAATAAATAAAACAAACTGTCAAGAATATCAAATAACTCATTTAGGAGGCTTTAGCATGATTAAAACTGATTTTATACCCAGAATGGTTGTTTCTGGTTTTAGTCAAAAGAGAGAAAGTTTAGCTGACCTTGACTAAGCAAAGCTCTGAGACTGGCGAGCCTATGTCCTATTTTCCTCTCCTACAGTTACTATACAATTCAAAAATCAACATTGTATTTTTTAAAGAATTGTTTATTTACTTTTATGTGTTATTATCATTACTTTCAATTTGCTATAGGGGATGTTCACTCACCAGAGAGAGGCAGAGAGAGAGAGAAAGCAAACTGCCAAGTCTGGGACTCAAACCCTGGTCAGCCATGTGGGAGTCCAGCACCTCAACCACTGCACCACCACTGGCCTCAATATCTAACAGTGTAAAAATCAGTATTACCACTCCTGGGAGCGGTCAGAGATAGTATGCGTAGTGTGTTGCTTCTGTGCTTTGGTCCCTTTGTCATTTTTCTCTTTCTGCCTTTGACGGACTTAATTGAGCAGTTCTTACAACTCCCTTTTATCTCCTTTTTTCTATATTTGTATGATTGCCTCCGAAGTTTTAGTGTGTGTGTGTGTGTGTGTGTGTGTGTACTTCAAAAAGTTCCTGGGAAAATGGAGTTAAACTGCAGGTTTATTTGGGAGTAAAAAATTTTGAAATTCATTTATAGTTTTTCATTATATGCGTTTTTCATGAGCCTTTTTGAAAACATAAATACATACATACATATATACATGTAAGTCTAAATGTGCACATAAGTGCATATGTGTAAGATGTGTGTCTTCTACATTTTCCATTTGCAAAGTCTAACCTGTCGTTACTCTCTTTCAGTGCATTTTTCATATAACATTTTGTAGTCTTTTTCTCTGAAAGTTCACTTTGGGTCTTTTTTTTTTACATCTCTCATTCTCTACTTAACTTTCTGAATATATAAAATATAATTTCAAAAGTTATTTTAATGTCTGTATTTGCTAATTTTTACTTCTGTGTCAGTTCAGTTTTTTCTCATTGCCAGTCATGTTTGTCTAATCCTTGGCACAACTACTGATTTTTTTATTGGATGTCATACATTATGAATGTTATCTTTTTAGATGCTAGATACTTTCTAGAGTCTTACAAATGCACTTGAACTTGGCTCTAGAACATATTTAAGTTACTTGGAAACAACTGGATTCTTTCAAATCTTTCATTTAACATTTGTTAGGTAGGACCAGGCTATTGTTTTGTCTGGGGCTAATTATTATGTATGGCTGAAGCAAGGCTCTTCTGTGTTTTTTACCCAATACCCCATGAACTGAGGTTTTTTGATTCATGTGATGGCAACAGGCACTGTTCCTAGCCCTGAGTGAGGGACAGCTACTGTTTCTGCTGATTCTCAAACATATTTTTTCACACTCGTGCACTGGTTAGTTCTCCGCTGAATACTCAAAGAAGACCCTGAAGATCTCTGGAGTTCTCTCTTTTCTGTGACCTGTAGCTGCCTTGGTCTCCCTGGACTTCTGGTTTTGTCTCGTCACATTGAGGAGTCTGCTAGCCTCTGCCTGGTTCTCCCTCACTGCACCATGGCCTGGAAATTCCCTGGAGGAGGTAAGCTGGAGAAGTCACAGGGCTCCTCTCACCTGTTTCCCACCTTTGGGGGCCACTGTCCTTTGCTGCCCATTTCTAGTATCTTGAAGACCACTGTTCCATAGCCTTCATTCATTTTCTTCGTTGCTCATGTGGGGGGTAAATTCAATCCCTGCTACTCCATCGTGTCTGGAAGCAAAGATCAGGAAATATCTCAGCTTTCAGATGTTAGTCTAGTCTCAACTTTTAGATTTTGAATCCAAAAAAGGCAAAGGAACCAAGGCAGGCAAGGATAGTTGGAGACTGGTTCAGTAATACTTGTTTTCTTCAGGTTTTTCCCCTCCTAAACTGCTTCTGGATCAAGACTCAGGCCTTCCATGCCACCAGATCTAGCCCTGACTGCACCTGCCGCTACAGCTC